GAGAGAGAGAGAGAGAGAGAGAGAGAGAGAATCACCAATGATCAATTTATGTATATTTGCATTAACACCAGAATGACGATCATCAGCACCAATGGAAAAAGTGTCTTAGATGGATTCTTTGAATGTTAGAAACTTAGAATCACCAGTGCTATTTTAATTCCATGCGAATTTGTATAAACACCAGAACAATAATCATCTACAACAATTGACAAAGTGATTTAGATGGATTGTTTGAGTGTTTTCATTGTACACATTCCACTTAGTGGAGTGAAATTTATGTATGGACTTCATTAGCTAAAGTCATGCATGGTTGTTGCTTCCACTTTCAGGTTGTTGCAAGGTTCAATGAGATTGTGACCAGGAAGTTATTGGAGGGGGCTCTTGATACTTTCAAAAGATACTTGGTTAAAGATCAAGACATCGACGTACGCTCCTAAAATTGCTCTATTCTCGAATCATAAGAAAAAGGAAAAAAAAAAGGATCAATAGGTCAAAATAGTGTACTATAAACCAATGGAATATGGTATTAACATAGTGTATTTGGTCATACCATCCATTGAGATGATGGTTGATGATGACGAGATGATGGTGGTACCGCTGGCTTCTTATCGTGTTATGGTGAGATCCACTCTTATCTCCAACATTGTCCATAATTTCAGTCTCTGGTGATGACCCCAGTAGACCCTATGTATGCCATGATCCATTCGGTTAGAGCCTGCTTTACCACAAGCTTAGTGACAATTATCCTTATCAGGATATTATTGATTGGGAGTTTCATCAGGATATTATCATGATTGTCTCTTTTATCAGGAATATATCGAATAACTACCAGGACTATAATATATTAAATTAATATACTAAGTAAACTTTGATTACAATTGTAAAAGCGAATTCGAATTTATCACCATTTAAAACATAATTACATTAAAACGTTTATGATAAAGTTGACAATAGTTCCTAAAGTATGACAAAATTAAAATATCAAAAGTCACTCTCTGTCTTACCAGCTTTAACTTACATATTTATTATCAATTTCTTGCAAATTGATCCCAGTTCTCTTACTGATATTTTTAAGCCATTTTTAGGTTAGTGACATGTTTCTTTTCAAATTGAAATTGCTGATTTTGTTTTGCGATCAAACAAATGTAATTACTGGGTGAGTATTTTATCATGGAAATAACTGGAAACATTAAAATATTGCGATAAATTGATTGTACATGGAATTGCTGGAGTTATTTGTCACCATGCCCACAGTAAATACATTTACGGATTTTATTGTTGCATGTTCAATCATCCTACTAGTTGAGATAAGGCTCTGAAGATGATGACGATGATGGTGTTCAATCATCCTACTGCCAGTTGTGCTTGTGGAATAAAACTTGGCTTGGTTCACATCTATCTACAGGTTGTATGGGTACCAGGCAGCTTTGAAATTCCTCCTGTTGCTCAGAAGCTTGGAAAATCAGGAAATTATCATGCAGTTCTCTGCATTGGCGCCGTGGTATGTATGTAGGTATCTATGTGTGTGTGTGTGTGGGGCTTATGTGCATGTACATAGTCTATAACTCTCGAAGTTAGAGCCTCATTATAAACAAGATTCTTTTATAGCGTGTATATTAATCTTTGTGAATATTGTGTCATGCTTACTTCTAATGGATGCACTTTATTTTTTGAGCTATCGATGTATATTTGAGTCGGAACTCAAACTCACCGACTAGAATATGCTAGTAACATGCTCTAACATTTTCTTTTGAAAGTCTCAAGGAGAATGGATGTAGGTGTGGCCAATAGTTACACGATGTGCACCATGGAAGCCAGATTCTTCTTCCCATTGCCATCTCCTTCCCAATCATGAAGATTAGAAAAAGTTCAATAACAGATTCCTATTCAAAATTTGCAACATTTCGCTTCATGACGCCCTTTCTCCCCCTTCTATCATGAATTGGATTTGCGATGAACACGTGCACATGTACGTATATAAGCATGTGAAATTGTATGCTTGTGTGCTTGAGCTTAGAGTACCTTTTGTCTTGAGCAACCTTTGCTCAATATGTCCCCTTAATTCCATGAGTTAAGGGTGGATGTGGAAGTCGCAAAACAAATGGGTTTAGAGGACAGGATGGGTGGATCTAAGGCCAAATATGTTACTTTTTGGTAGAAGAAATGGAGATGGATTTGTCTTGTGTCTTGGTAGAGAACATTTTGATAAGGATTTGAAATGCTTTGAACATAAGGATGATTATGAAGAACTTTTTGTGGAGGCGGCTGACTTGGCAAAGAACATGAAGAAATTGGGGACCTTGGTTAATTTTATGGGAAAGGATAGCCTCTATGTGGTGGGTGACCAATGAATTTGGTGGGTATGGCAAAATTGTTGTTATTATTTTACTGATAATAAGAGCAATTATAATAACAAAGACACAATAGAACATAAATTTTCGAAATCATCCATAATTCTATGGTTAGTGAAAACCAAGTTTAATAGCTTAGTTGAAGACTACAGATATGTCTGATTAGGCGAATAATGAGGGGAATGAAATGCCTTGACAGCTTGAGCAGGAGATGAAGAGGAAATTGTCATGACTATTAAGGGTCAGGCTAGAGGGAAGTTCTAGTGATCTAGTGGTGGGACAACTGGTAGAGATCTGGGCATCACATTAGGCTGAACTGGGCATCAATCTTATTAGAGTTTCTCTAATTATTTTGGAATTTCCTTCTTTTTTCTCTTTTTCTCATTGAATGCAGAAATTTTTACTATTCATATCATCCTAATCTTAGCTTTATGAGCCCCTCATTCTAGTATGTCTGAATAAGTTGTTGAGTGATAGGTCAATGAATAATGAGTAATCCGTCATACTGATGTTTGTTTTCCGTCCATTCTCATACTTGCATATATAGAAAACAACATATGTGCCATCTCCCTACCCAGCATGTGAATAACATTTCTTCTCATGCATCTGCTTCTTATGGGGCATCTTTCCAAGGCACTACATGTGCTACCTTGAATTGTCATTGTAGCTGAATTTTAGTCCAGTTATCTGTTGTAGTTGGATCACTACTCTCTCTCTCTCTCTCTCACACACACACACACACACACACACAAGCACAACACACACACAATGAGCTTCCATTGAAACTCAAATATATGCAATGACTCATGCCAGGAATAGGACAGAAATTGATTATATTAAGATAAGAGCTACTTATCCCAGGTGGCCAAGCCCTAGATTCTCTTTCCCTCTTTCTTACAGGGGATCCATCATCCTCCTTAACCATTTTAGGGACATGCTAACAGACCTGCCATTAAGTACCTAGTATCAATAATCTCATTCACAATATCTGCGATATTTTAGTTATCTCAAAAAAAAAATGATCTGTGATCTGTGTATCAATATTGTCAGAAAGTTGGTGTTAGCAGTGCCTGTACTGCAAGATTGGCCATGGCGATTTTGTGTTAGATCTCAATGAAATGCTGGACAACAGAAACGTAGTACTATATCTCCTTCCTTTTTGTTTCCTGTGATTTTGGTTGGGTTCATGCACATTATGTAAATTTCAAGCATACTAAAGTATAGAGCTTCTCCTGCCAGGTTATTATCACGATTTCCTTGTTTGTTGAGCTTAATGAAATCATGAGCCCGATGATATTTTATGGCAGGTAAGAGGAGATACTACACACTATGACGCTGTTTCCAATTCAGCTGCATCTGGAATACTTTCTGCTGGCTTGAATTCAGGTTTGTCTTTCTTAATTTTTTTTTCTTTTCTAAATCACTATTCAGGTTTATCTTTGAAGAGTAGGTTTTATATAGATATGTTCTTTGCTTTAGCCGGATCTATGTTACCATGTTTTATTCACCTGCGAAAAAGCAAAGTTATGCTGTAACGCAAGAATGCAAAATAAAAATTTGTTATTCATATTGTTGTTTGTTGTTCTTTGAGGAACAGTTCCTCTTTAGTTTCTTTCCTCAGTTTAGCCGATATCTCGTAAAGGTGAACATTCATTGGTCTCTTTTATTTACCATTTCCACTGTACAAAGTGATCAATTGGGGAAAGTATTCTATAGCCCATTGGTGGGAAACTATAGTTTGGGTTTATGTCTGTCAGATGAATGATGGACGGATGATGAGAGAGTGGGAACAGCCATTAAGGTCATGTTCTGTTCTGGGAGTTCCACTAGTTCCATTGCCATCAAACATTTCATCTTATGGTCATGAGGCTAACATGTTATGGGTCTATGTAGACCATATAATCTACAGTATGCATTCTTTTTCCTCCATGCTGTCTGCGGTTGACATGAAGCATTAGATCGGAACTTTGTCTAAATGCGTTTATAGGAAATAATGTGTTTGTTGTGTTTACAGGAGTTCCATGTGTGTTTGGAGTCTTGACCTGTGAAGACATGGATCAGGTAAAATTGTGTCATACATGACCATTTTAATTGATCACAGCTATAGAAAAGCAGGTCCTTTTTGAATATTCAATCCTGATGCATACATGATCTTATGAGTACTTTTTGATATCATGCCATATTTCCAAAATTGTAAATTTCCTTGGCAACACGTGCATGACACTGAAACATAATTATAGCAATTATGTTTCACCAATGAAAAAAATTATAATAAAGAATATGAAAGTACAACATAGTTCAGTGGCCTATGAAAAGACTGTACTCCATTGTGCTCATCTTTTTCAAATGCAATGATCATACGAGATGGCGAGATGTAGGACCCACTTTTGGGGTTCATGTCCTCTTAGGATGGGTTCAATTCTCTCTGTATCAGCATCCATCTGTTTGTTGGGAATTGATGATCCAATTGGACTCCGGTTTCTCCGGAGAATATAATGGCAATATAACTTTCATTTCATCACTTATAGTAGAGAGAGAACTAGTTAGGAGAGAAGCTATTGATTATAAATTTGGCAATGTTGCGCAGGCTCTGAATCGAGCAGGGGGTAAATCTGGGAACAAAGGTGCTGAGGCTGCTTTGACTGCGGTAGGTTGATTCTTTTTTTTCTTTTCAATTGAATTCTTTTCCACTAGATTTATATGTTGGTTTGAATCATTAGTACATGGAGGAAAACTGGATTTGGCTTAGTTATTCTTTCTTCTTTATAAGTATTTAGCTAGGCTTTGGAAGCTTATTTTATTCCTTGGTCTCACTAGCACTGTGTTCATATGCCCTTGCTTGATGCCTTCACTACCTACCTTTCATCTAGTTTTAGAGCTTGAAGATGCATATTTATCTATTTTAGTGCGATATTTATGAGTGGGTATTAGGTAGTTGAGCCTACTGATTAAGAGGATGATATGCGAATTAAAATTGATGGGGTAAGTTAGACTTCTGTCAGATTAACTGCCCAGTTAATGTTGATGGGGTAGATTAGGCTTCTAAGCTTATCTACTGGTATAAGTGGTAGACGTATTAAAATTAAAAATTCATCATAATAAGCCTATCTATTTGTATAATGCTTAAACTATTTAGGCCACATCATGGGAGCTGGTTTCCTTATTTTAAAGTTTTCTTCTTTGAAGGGAAAAAAAACTAGATTTGTAGCTATACTCGATTAAAAAATTCTGGTTTTAAAGAATTCTTGCTGGAAAAAATGAACTGAGCAGTGGATTAGATTGGAATGCACCTGCCATTGCGTTTTGTGTGCCTTTGCACCCCCACATGTGCCGTGCACCTGTCTGTGTGTGTGTGTGTGTGAGAGAGAGAGAGAGTCCAAATTGTCATGCTGAGCCCATGCATGCTCACATACACGTACATGTGAACAGATATCAGGATGTTGCCTTAATACATGGCTCGGGTTTTGCAGATTGAGATGGCTTCTTTGTTTGAGCATCACCTGAAGCACTGATTCATGCCTCCCTTATCTCTGTGCCCCACCTTTCTCTTGCTGAAATCCATTGTTTCAGTCTATCACAGTCTTAAAATGCAGCGAGCCCCTTTTTCCATTACTTCATGAGATGAGCCTTCTTTCTTCTTTAGCTTGTGATTTGATCCCAAAATACAAGAGCTCCATATCAGTAGACAATGCCATTTGATTCCTTTTTGTAGAGGCCCAGAAAATTGAGTTAACGTAAAATAAGCATGGCTTGGATGGTGTGAAGTGTGGGAATGAGAAGGTTTCGGAATCAAGGAACTGTTGTGTATGATTGTCTTTTTTATAAATATCAGTCATTTGAGATATCCTTGGTTTGTTGTAACAAGTTTGATTTTTGTCTGTTTTTTCTTTTCTTTTTTTATTTTTTGTAGAGAGAGAGAGAGAGAGAGAGGTGGTCGAAAATTATGGAAGTAGTGGAAACAAGTGGTACAAAGTCTCTAGCTAGGCGAACATGAGATGGAAGAGGAAAGCCTAACTATCTAGGCTAGTAACCATGACAAATTGGAGTGGAATTGGACAATTTACATCTTCTTTTCCCGCTGAATATGTTGGTTGACGAAGGGAAGAAGACCATGTTTTTGGCAGCAGAAGTGACTCGGAATAGACCTTCGAAGGTGCAGCTCCCTGGGGTATTCTCAAAAGTTTCTACTCCAGAGGTCAAGTTTCCGAAGGTGGGTCAGGAACATTTTATGAAATTACTGTCTATTGAATATAAGTACAACAGATTTCCTGAATCTTTTCTTGATCAATTCACAGAACTGATGAAGTGGTTGCGAAGTTGCTAATACAGCTCATTTAGGGTAGACGAAATCATCCGGGAAGTCACAGCAGAAGGCCAATTTACTGTGTGGTCTCTGTACAAACTCTTGTATAACAAAGGTCTGGAAGCTGTGTTTCCCTCATAAACTCCAGGTTTTTATATGGTTGTTACTGTTAGGAAAGCTGCTGACAATAGATCTGCTTAGAAAGAGGGGAAAAGAGTTGACTAATTTGTATATGATGAAGAAACGAGGGGGCATCTGTTCATGCATTGTGAATTCACTAGAGCCTGATGACGTTGAGCTTTGTGGAAATGGGCGTACATTTGGTCCTGCCACGATCAGCGTCTCAGATCTATGATGAACATTACGCAACTGCCAAAGGCAGGTAGAACACTATGGAAGGCTATGATTACTGTATTGTTGTGGCAGGTGAGGAATGAAAGAAATCAAAGGAGCTTTGAGGGGATTCCAAAAGATTGGGTATCATAAGATCCAAGATCATTGCATCAGCTGCAGAATGGGTATCATCTAGGATGGAGTTGCGGCAACCGGCAAAGACATGATCGAATGTATTTCAGAGGGGTGGCTACGATGAAAGAAACAAGAATGCAGAGAGTAGGTAAATAGAAACCACCACCTTAAGAGAGCATAGGTGAATAGAAACCACCTCCTAAAAAGACCATGAAACTGAATTTTGATGGGAGTGAACCGGGAATCCTGGAAGAGCTAGAATAGGGGCGTTAGTGAGAGATCATAGAGGGAATATACTGCTCTCTTGATGCAGACCGGCTTTGTGTTGCGCAACAAATTCTAGGTCTGACGTTCTGGGGACCTTTACACCTAATGGAGCTGAGATGCAGGCACTACTTCAGGGACTGAAATTAATCTCAGAAGATCAAGTGAACATGATTGTAGAAGGGATTCAGTTAATACCATGGTGTCCTGGATACACGACAGTGCCTCAGAATTTGGTGAACTAGTGAGATAAAAGAACTTCGCGAAAGTGAAGATGCCAGTTTTATACATATCTATAGATAATCTAATGAGGAGGCTGAATGCTCTGGCAAATAATGGTATAAATTGGCAGGTATAGTGGTAAATAAATATTGGTTATTTGCATCGGTTGGTTGTGGCTATGCAGCACTGTTTGCACCCCAAATAGACTTGGTACAGCCGCACCTCAAAACGCTGCCACAAAAATCATATTAGTGCCGGAAAAATTTGTGATGGCCAACTAGTCCATTTATGGAACTTGCTACAGACGTTGAAGCTATAAAATCTGGTATAGATTTGGCAAACCGCCTAAAATAGACAACCCAAAAAAGTTGTTGCATGATCAGCCAGGACATAAGTAGGGCCTTGAGATATTGTTCTTGTTTTTGGATCCACGATTGTCGTGGTGAAGATGACCATTTTGTAGTTTTCCGGCATCATAATCGTTTTCCAAAAATTGTTTCATGCATGTTGGACTGCAGTGCAAAAAGTGTAAAGTATCAACCTTAATGATGGATGTAAGTAGGTGTTTCATCTAAAAACAATGGAAACTAACAATTCAAATGTTTTCTTACAAGAATTATTATTTTTAGTTTTTAAAATTTATTTATTTTTTTATATTCATGATATGCATGTTAATGTTAGAGACTCCATGTCCTTAAAAATTAAGTAAAAAAATCCATCTCAAAAATATATTTATTAATAGACCTGCATTTCTACATATGTGGGCTCGGCCAAAGAGACTGGGTCCTTGTTTTTCTTATACTCTCAAGTGCAGTTATATAAATCTGCAGCTTTACAAAATACTTTTCTTTTCTTAAACAAAGAAATTTTTTTTTATTTCTTCTTTTTTTCACTAGTATTAAAAAACAATTATCGTTTTTCTTGATCTTATTTTTGGAAAAGTGGTTTATGCATGGGCACACAACTATATTTGCATCCCCCGAGGCATCACACATCCATCTTTCAAGATGGATGTGAAGTGGTATCCAAAAAAGGACAAACTTAAACGTTCTAAAAAAGCAAAACATTTCCTTTAAAAATCATCTTTTTTAGTTCTTATTTTTACCTTTATTTTTTTTAACAGATTCATGATCTTGATTCTTGAGATTAGTCCAAATTCCATCTAAAAAATGGATCATGAAGAGGGGACACATATCTACATATGAATCCTAGGACTCATAAAAACCATGTCTTCTATTTTTTGTTTGATTTTTATCATTATATTTATTTACCATTTTAAAGGCACGCGGTAATGTTCTTGGCCTCCCGACCACTCTATTCCTGCAAGCAAGGCTTTGTGCCCCCTTTTCTCTTTGATTAAGCATATTTACTAAAATGCCCCTAGCCTGTATCTAAATTGGTTGAATTACCAAAATAAAACCTTTATTACTGAAAGGATGTGTTTTTTATAAGGTTGCAACCTTAAACAATTCAATTAAGGCATACCTCCAAATATTATTATAATATGTAATTTTGGTGTAAAAAATTCATGTTTTTTATAAGGTTGCAACCTTAAACAATTCAATTAAGGCATACCTCCAAATATTATTATAATATGCAATTTTGGTGTAAAAAATTTATAGGATTATTTGAAAATCTATTTTCATATCTAATTATAAAATTTTAAACTCCAAAAACGATTAAAATCAAGTAGATCTATAAACATACGAAAATCTTGAAAATGGACGGTCTAGATAATTGTGAGATGCACTATTTTTGAGACTCAAAATCTTTTTTTTTTTCTCATATTCCTAAATCTTGATGTCAAGATGATCAATTATACGGTTTTTCAACATTAAAACGACCTTTTCCAATGGATTAAAATTCTACATTTTAATGTTGCAACTTTATATAAACTTTTCCCTTGGTGAAATATAGGATTACTACAATAAGGCTTAGGGGTAGCAATGGACCTAGACCCGACCCGTAGGTTTACTACAATAAGACTTAGGGGTGGCAATGGACCTAGACCCGACCTGCAAGTTTACTACAATAAGACTTAGGGGTGGCAATGGACCTAGACCCAACCCGGGTCCTGATGGCTAGACCCGACCAGGGTCTGGGAATGGGTCCAAAAATTGGACCAGGTAGATCCGGTTTAGGTCCATATTTATTAATTTATGAAAATTCATTAAAATATATTTAAATACATCGATATTATAATTTTTGGGTCGGGTCCAATCAGGTTTGAGTCCCACATTATATCCCGACCCCCTTCCCACTGCTAAAAAAGCTCAGACTAAAATTACTAAAATACCCTAAAAGTTGCATGGCCATGTTAGAAACTATGGAAAATGCCCCCTCCTCTTTGTTGAGAATAAGTGGCCGGTACAATTTTTGTTACCTGTACCTGTGAGAAGCCATGAACAAGGAAGCTGAAAGCTCTTTAGAGAAAGCTACATATTCTCTCTCTCTCATATGATTCCTTCCTTCATAGCGTGCATAACCTACTTAGTTCACCTCATCCTTTCAACCACTCAGAATTATAAGAATAGATAGAGAGACACCTTCTTCTTCTCTTCTTCTTCTTACTCTTTAACAAGCGGTCATGGCTGTCCAGTTTTCTCTCTCTCATCCACTCCCGAATACTTCAGCTTGGCTCCGACGACCTCCCTCCTCCCTTCATAAGCCTTCTCTTCATCTCTCTTCAACCAGACCTCTCGCATCTATAAATCATCATTCAGAACGATCAAATCCTTTCTTGTTCACCTCTGAGGACCAGGTCTGTAAACTTTTCTCCAGTTTTTCTAATTTGCTTATTTTTGGGTGACATTTCCCTAAATAACATTTTGAGATGATGGTTTTTAGACGATATAATTGTTTACTTTTGGTACAAAAATGTCACAATAACCTTAGTCATCTAATGTGAACGGTTGACGGCTTACCAATAACTTTGCTCAAAGTCCAGGAAAATTTACAGAGAAATAACACTGCAACTGTCTCACATTTGATGTCATGGGGTGTTTGTGACCCATGTAGGAGATGTAACAATCTCACTGTGTACAATCCCCTTTTGGAACGGTTTACATAGCATGATTTGTGATGCAGGGAGTGTCGGCAATTGTTCTAGGAGACAGCATAGAATCACAGCTCTATCCCCTAACAAAAAGGAGGACAAAAGGGGCAATTCCCTTTGCTGCAAATTACAGATTGATTGATGTAGTTTTTAGTAACTGCATCAATAGCAATTTAAGAAGGATTTATGTTCTTACTCAGTTCAATTCAACTTCCCTTAGTTCCCATGTCTCAAGAGCCTATTCTACCATGGCTTCTGTGTTAGGAGAAGAGTATGTGGAGGTCTTATCACCATATCAGAGTGCCAAAGACTTCCATAGCTGGTTTCAGGTACTATATGATTGTTCGCTTTCATAGAGTTAACAATTTATGGTAGCATGAAAGGAAAAATGTAAATTTATGGTAGCATGAAAGGAAAAATGTAAAAGATGTTCATGATGGGGTAGAGCTAACAAATGATAATATACCCGCGTGGACCTAAGTTTGTTAATTTGTTCCCTCCCTTGGTTTCCTTGCTAGGTTAAAGTCCATGAGGTTTTGAATCTAAGATTGGGATGTCAGCAAATTGACTAGAGTGGTTTCCTCTAAGAATGGGAACTTCATTTTGATCTTAAGTTTTTCAAATAGCTCAAAAAAAGATTTCTACTATGAGATGGTAGCAATGTTCGCAATATCAGCCGGTTCAACTTGGAACTGGCCGGGTAGATCGGAATTGGGCACTGGCCAGTTCCGATTTTGATGATTCGGTTGGGCATTCTAAAAGAAATTCAAAAAAAATTATATAAAATCACAAAAAAAAAAAGAGATTTGTTTACAATATGTTTTTGAATGTTTTTTTTTATCATTTTGGCAAAAATCATAAAGTGTTTTGGCCATGAATACTTACTTTTATATTTTTCCATTTTTTTTGAAAATTTTTAAAAATATCTCTAGACACAAATCGATCTTTAAAAACTTCATTTTTTTCATTAATTTTCAAATGCTTTGTTTGATCATACTTTAAATATACTTTTCATAGTTTTTTTTAACACTTTTTCCACCAGCTGGGACTTTCCCAATTAGGCTGGTTGAATTAGGAGGTTTGCCGGTTACTCAGAACATGCACTTGGCTTGTTTCCAAGACCGGTTCGATTTTCCAAACACTGCATGGTAGCATCAATTATGAGTCTCTAGAATGATCAAGATGAGCTTGTGTGAGAGGGGTGGTGGGGGCATATAGGGCCTTGGACGTCCAAAGTCTAAACAAGTTAAAAAGCAAAAGCATGAGTTTGTTGCCTAACAAATCAGAACTATTGGAAGCCTCATACGTAATACAGACATGGTTTTTGTGCATGTATTGAAGACATGATACTTATGTCTGCCGAAATTTGAGGTGTTTCTATTAAATTGTTTTTTTTGGAACTTAACTATAAAACCTTTTGACATTATTTAGATTCTTTAATCTCACCATTGATGTGCGTCTCCAAGGCACTTTTTTATTTTGACATTTTTTAATGTGTCAGATACGATGGTAGAGGTGCAAACGGCTTGTGTGGACCAAATCTGGACCAGGTCTTGGAGCTAGAACCAGACCCGGTCAGGTCCAAATCTCTTGGACCTAGACTCGACTCCTTGGGTCCTAATCTGGGCCCAGACAAGGACCGGACCTGGGTTCACCAAGCATGCCCGATTAACCCAACGCATTTCCCTTATGTGCCCTCATAAAAATGCCCACACGAAGAACATAGATAGAGAGAAAGAGAGAGTTTTGGCATGGCGAAGATGTTTATGTGTAAATTTTTAGGGCAATGCTGATGCTGTTAGGCAATGGCTGTGGGTGCTAGAGGAGCACCCCGTAAAAGAGTTTCTCATACTTCCAGGCCACCATCTCTATCAGATGGACTACCGTAGACTTCTACAAGCTCACAGGAACAACAATGCTCACATCACCATGGCTACATCAGCAAATTCAACCCAGGCAATGACTTCACACTACTAATCTTTTTCTTTATCATGTACTAATAAAAAGAAGACTAGGTGTGAGGGTGTTATAATCACCTTTAACCATTAGATTTAAAATCGAATGGTTCGGCTAGTGGTAATACACCACTAATTAGACTCAAAGTTCAAAATAAAATTTTTCGGATTTTGTGACGCACCCTAAGCTGATGGGTTTAACATAGAATGATTAAAGGTGATTGTGACTGACCTCCATGTACTAAAGGTAAACAACCTTATAGTGTAAATAAAATGGATTTGGTTTGTATAAGATTGCAACATTACTTGTAGAAACAAGGTAGCGATACTCTAAACTGTCCATTTCACTTAAATGGTGTAGATTTGACATATCTTTTAATATAATTTCAATACATTTTTAAAATAGTATCCAACCTACACCATCCAAATAAAACATATGGTGTGGATTACTGCAACCTTATTTTTATATATAAAATGACAACCTTATATAAAATTTCTCCAAATAAAATAAGTGTATTGAGCCCTCAAACACACTCTCTCAACATTTCTCTCTCTCCCAATACATTTGCTCTCTCTATCTCTTAACGCATGGCACGCTCTCTTTCTCATTGCATTCATCTCTCTCTAAAGGGTGCAATTGGCATACAGATGCATCCATAGCTACAGAGATAAAGTGCACCTTCAAATTTTATCATGGTATATAATTTTGATGTAAAATATTCTTAGGATTATCTTAAAATCTATTTTTATATTTAATTACAAAATTTTAAATTTTAAAAAATAGTTAAAATCAAGTAAATCTATAAACATATGAAAATCTTGAAAATAAACGGTGTAGATAATATATTGTAAAATCTACTATTTTTTTAGACTTAAATTCTTTTTATTTTTCATAGTCATTCATATCGACGCCACGCCGAGATGATCAATCAAAGGGTTTTTCAACATTAAAACTACTTTTTTCGATCGATTTTTGAGGTGCATCCGCAGCTCTACACAAGGTTGCATCCTTATATAAACTTTTTCCCTCTCTAAATGCCCCATCATGTGCAAGTGCCTAAAGAGAGAGAATAGAATCACTACCACTATTGTGCTACTCCTAATATCAGCATTAAAATCCTTATTATTGGAGCTTGTAAATGCAGGTGGGAAATTCAAAACAAATAAACGGCAAAGGCCAGGGGGAGAGCATGGGTATTTATGTATTTGATAAGGATTTAATGAGGAAGCTTTTATTAGACTACTTCCCCAAGGCTAATGATTTCTCCAGTGAAGTAATACCAGGTGCAATTTCCCTAGGAATGAAGGTTAGTATTCATCAAACGAGCTATTTTGATTGTTTGCATTTGATCTTTCCCCAGGGAAGATATTATGTGCTTATGAGGGAGCAAAGTATACGTTTATACCCTAGGGCAAAACTCCTCAAACTGATGAACAATCTCAAAAGTAATAATATAAATAAACCATAGGAAATCTATGCATGCTCGAGAAAAGCTTGAGTGCAAATCCAGTGAGAGCACATTATACGTTTGGGCAAAAGGCCTATGCTGGATTTCATTGAGGATAATTTTGGTTCGCATGAAATATTGTCACGGAGAAAACATTTCTTTATGTGGTTAGGTGTTGAAATATTTTCACACTAATTAGCTATTAATTGGTGTGAAAAGATGTATTGGGACCAATTGATGTGAAAATATTTTCATAACTAATTGTATACGGGAATTCTTTCACATAATGTGAAACAAATGTGCCCTAAATGAAATTTTAGGATCCATTTTAAAATAACTAGACGAGTATTTTTAATATCAAAAAGATAAGATTTGAATTCCTTAGCACTTAGTTATGAGTGTCGAGATATTGGATGGTTTTTATTCAATCCTAGGATATTGTTTTTAAGTTGATTGTCCAAATATTTTTAACATTGAACATAGCTATTTAGAAACTGAAAATCCGATATACTTTCTTTGAAAAATACCGATATACTTTCTTTGAAAAATATGGTGATCCTAAAGAGGATCCGGAATTTCTAAATTTCCAATATAAAACCGTCCTAACTTTTTTTGCAAGAGAGTATAGGTGTGTAGTGTGCTCTTACAAGAATTCGGTATGCACATTTTCTTCAAATAACAACTATAGTAATTTTTTAGGTAGGCTATCGGCGGGGCAATTCAGTTTTCAATTCAGTTTTGCGTATGATTAATCCTTCATGATAATTTTTTTTGGTTCAACACCAGTGGGGCCAAGAAGTTACCAAGTTCGGATCCGAAATCTAAATTTTGGATCCTATTTAAATCCGGTATGGATCCAAGATTTAGATCCACATGTTGGATCCGAATTTTAAATTCAAATCCAAACATTTTGGATCCGATCAGATCCGGATCCACGTCCTATGTATACTTTTAATATTCGAATATAGATCGGGGGATCCGAACCTTATCCAAAAAATTCTCAACCCTAAACATCAAAAATTCTCAACCCTAAACATCAGTTGGGCTCAAGATTCTTATTTCTTATTATTTAATGTTTCTTTTTTAGGTGGAAACTTATATGCACGATGGTTATTGGGAGGATATTGGGAATATTGAAGCTTTCTACCAAGCCAACATGGAAATAACAAAGAAAACAAGGGCAGGCTCCATGTAAGAAGTAAATATACCAATAACTATTCTTTTATATAAAATTGGAAAAATATGACACCAAATATACACTACTATATCTATGGAACAACAGTGATTTATGACCACGAAAACTTATGCAAAAGCGCCTGAGTCAGGTCGGGATTGTCAAATTACCAATTTTGGCTCGAAGAGCCCCAGAATGGCCTCCATTCTCTACTTTTTTAACCTTTTTATTTAACTTGATTTGGCTCGAGAACCACTCGAATTGAATCAGGGAAAATTAAATTCAAATGCCTGATCCCGGTTTTTGCAACATCATGAAGCACCTTAGTAGACACCACATTTAATCTAGGAAGCACCTTAGTGGACACCTTAGTAGACCCCACCTCAGTTCCTATGCATGCATTCTCATGAAAAAAGCAACAAAAAAATTGGATCTCTAAAAAAAAGGAAAAAAAAAGAAAAAGGAGAGGAAGTTTCTCAAGCAATAGTAGAAGATAAATACACTTAATTGTTTCAATTTTTTATTTCAGTTTTTGTAATGGCGAGACACCGGTCTACACCTTGCTCAAATACCTTCCACCTTCTAGGATTTCATGTGCTCAAATATCAGACAGTATCGTAGGTGATGGATGCATACTCAAGGTAAAATTACTAAATATACTCAACTTTTTTTGTCTTTTTTTTAGTGGTAAAATATACTCATTGTCAATTTAATTTAGTTACCAACGTATTCAATTTCAGCTAGCCCCACAATGGTATTTTCTACTCTTTGTGATGTAAATTCTTTTACTTTAATTTATTTTTTATTTGAAAGCTCTGCCATCCAGTTTAAATTGGTACACTATAATCAAGTAAATTCATTTCCAAATAAATCTATGCATTGTGCTATAAATTTGTTTACCCAAATATCACTAAGACGGTCATTATTTCAAGGGCTTAAGCTAAATGATGTAGATAGTCTTATTTATTCTATTTCCAAACTTGGAACTTATTTTTCATTAAAATCTCTTGCTTTGGATTTGAAACCCTAAACAAATCGGGATATTTATATCATCTCGCTCAACTCTAGTATCTCGAGCCAAATGACGAAACTACTCTACTTGTTATGGGTTCCAAAAATGAAACATGTGTTTTTTTTATTAAATGATCTTATTCCAAGTTTGGAATCCGGAAAAAGCAATAGTAATTTGGTAAAATCTAGGCCTACTTATCCAAGATTCCAAACATCGAATATGGACATTTCGAGTATTTTTAATAAATATTTAATGACGTAGTTGGGCAAAATAATAAGGTTGTAGCTATTGATAAATTATGCTTACTCTGGCAGGATTGCAAGATCCATGGTTCCATTATTGGGATGCGTTCACGGGTTGAAAATGGTGCAGTGGTTGAAGACTCGGTGTTAATGGGGGCGGATGTATTCGAAGTACATTTCAAATACTCAAGATGCAAATTATACTTAGCAATTACTAGACTTATTAACCAAATCAATAATGTACATTGTCAAAAAATGAAGTGACAAGTAGGGATGGCAACAGGCAGGGCCAAGCCTGGCCCTAGTTCCACCCAAGCAGGCTCAGTCTGGATAGGGCCAAAGAGGCCCTTGTCTAGGATCAAATTTGGCCTGCCAATGCATGGCCAGGCAATATATAATAAAGTGCCTTGTCCTCGAGTCGTGGTGGACTCAACCTGGCTCGACCGTCATGTCACATTTTGAGGCTCAAACCAACTAGTCCAGGACAGGCTAGACCAATGGGCCGATTGCCAAACCGAATGACAAATAATCATCACAGATTTGAGGTACAAACAGGTTGGGACTAAGACAAGTGGACCCCACCAAGACTCAAACTGGATCCTCTTAAGTCCAGGACTGGACCCTGGCTAGCCAAGTCCAACTGGACTTTGATCTGGACCCAATAGGGTGAGGTCTAGACCTAGACCGAGGTCGAGTTGACCCAAACAACTTTGCAACCGTATCCCAAACCACATGTGAATGTGTAGAATAGCGAAAGTATAAAATAAAATTATTTATTTTTAAGACAAAAAGGTCACAATCACGTCCAATTGTCAAATGTGAAATCAAACAGCATCTAAATTTCTCCCATCAGACATTCACGGTCTCAATGTCTGAAAAAGTTTTTCTTAGATTTTGTGAGGAGAAATGATAAGTCCCCAAATCTAATTTTACATCTAGGGGTGCTTGTGACTTTTGTGTGTAAAAAATTACACTCTAATATTACACAATCCGTGAAAAATAAAGGGCTCATAAAAAATCATTGCCCTAAATGCACCCATTATTCTCTACTTTCCTTTTTCTTGTTTTTGTTTGCTTAAATTATCCATCCACAGATCGATGATGAGAAGAGAGGAATAATGGGAAAACATGGCATCCCCATTGGAATAGGAAGAGAAAGCCATGTAAGAAAAGCCATCGTTGATAAGAATGCTAGAATTGGTAAAAATGTCAAGGTAATTTTCAACAACTCGTTCAATTTTCACTCACATTTATCCATAAACAACCAAATTGAAAAATTGATGGCATGCTGTTTTCATATTTCATAAGAAAACATCCCATTTAAATTTGAAACCCCTCATGTGAACAAATATGCTATTTCTAACATATTTGTTAAGGGATGGTATATAATGAGATCATTTACTTTTAAATACAATGAAGTAACAATCACTCTTGTCCTTAAATTTCAAATTGGATGGCTGCCAATGTGTCTAGACTCAAAGTTCAAAAAAAAAAAATTTGAACTTTGTAACACACCATAAGCCATCCAATTTGACATTTAATAGCTTGAGCCAATTGTGACCTCCATCTACTAAAGATAAATGGTCTTGTAGTATACAATCTCATTTGTTAATTGTCAAATTTGACAACTTAAAAGGATATGATTTTTTTTTCCCAAATTAGTGTTTTGATAGAGGGAGTAAATGTATAATATGTTCCTAAGGGAGAATAATATATATGTTCATTAGTGAAAATTTACTAAGTGACCCATTTTATATTTATACCAATTTTAACATTTTATCCTTCTTAATTTGTTCTATTTTATTTTATTGATAGATAAATATTTTGCAGATCATAAATGTGGACAATGTACAGGAGGCAGATAGGGAAGCCTATGGATACTTCATATCCGGCGGTATAATTGTCATTATGAGGGGTGCAGTGATACCTGACAAAAGCATTATCTAACCTCTGCAAGCAAATGAATGCCGCTGCCCTCTCTAAGCAAATGGGATATTCTTCTCCCTTGTATTTTTTTTTCATATGAATAAAATTTAATCCATTATTGAAAAAGAAGGAAAATAGTATGGATTTTTCATTTTAGTATTGGGTGAGGTTTGAACAAGCCCCAACCTTATAACATTCAAAGTATGGCACAACTATAAATTGTATGAAAGATGCTCGGTGTCAAAAAGCCTTGTGGTAGCACAAAAATATGTTTTCACCCTCAATTATAATTATACAACTTAAAGTTTAAAAAATAGTTCAAATTGAGGAAATCTATAAATATTTATAAATAATGAATATAGACCGTCTAGATTATATATAACAAAATGCACTATTTTTAAGATTTAAAATTCTCTTCTTTTTTTTTTCAATATATATATATCTTGAAAATAAGATGATCAATAGAAAGGTTTTTTAACATTGGAACAACTTTTCACGATAGTATTTTGAGATGCTCCTTACTTCTATAATATAAATTGGTACCTTACATTAACTTTTTCCTTTCATATTTCTTCAAACCTTTCCTGTCATATTCCCCAAACCTACTTAAATATTTTCCCATATTTCATTCATCTAAAGAGCATGATTATTTAACAATGGGATTATTTTGAAATCTTGAAATGGACAACTGAAAACCCCTCGCTGAAACCAAGAAACCAGATCCAACATGGCCTGCAAACTTATAAATGGCATCTTCTCATGAGATTTGAGGTGCGACTCTGTAAAGTTATGATTTTCGAAACACTTTTCATTTCTTAAAAGCCGAATGTGGGTACATGCCAAAAAAAAATAAAAATTGAAAAAACAAAAGAAGTTAAAAAATTTTGTGCTCCCATGGGCAACTATACTATCTATTTACTTCCTTGGGCAACTCCTAAGAGCACTTTTCGACACAAAATTTTGGAGATACAACCTCTCCGACCTAGCTAAAAAATAGCATCAAATCGTATTATATACGTGCTTAAAAAAATGCCTCAACATTGAAAAGAGATCATACAACTTTTCGAACATAAACTTAAATTTTATCTTTTTCAAAAAACAACTATTTTTAAGTGATCCCAAAATTTTAAATTAAAAAAATACTCCTTACAAGGAAGGAAGTGCACAGTGGGAGAACCCTTTCATATTAGAGACTAAGGATTAGTTGGGATAGACTTTTCAAAGAAGGAAAAAGCTTATGGCATTGACGTAAGGTGCAGATCTATCGAAGAGAGTGTTATGATGTTAGAGTACCTTCCAATTGATTATCTCAACCTTGTTGTATGGATATAAAAAAAATAAAAAATTCAAACTTTAAAAATAGTACATCTTGTAACAAGTTATCCAAATAATCTATTTTTAAAAACTTTAAGGATTTATAGATTTGCTTGATATATACTTTTAAAAAAAAATAAATTTCGTAAGCAGTAATAAAAAAAAATTCTAGACTATCATAAGGTTTCGATACTTAACTGTATCTCCAAACAAATTTTAGAGATGCGTTTTACTTCTACACTACAAGGAGAAAACCCCTTGTACATCAAAGAATCACTAGGGTTGGATGGACATTACAAGAAGTTAAAGAGGGCAGTTTGGTCAAAACCACACCCGTGCTCTTTAAATAGAGAAAGACAAAACCCTAAAAGAAGCCTTCTGTTCGCCCTAACAAATTTAAACCCAGGATCCGTTATACAGACATAGAGGCTCTCTCCCTATGTTATATTGGGCAGGAAACAATTTGAATTTTCCCCCCCAAATCCCATTTAAACATTACCAGGTGACCATAGCCTCATCAGCCCTTATGGATGATGTGAGAAGGAAGACATGCAAGAGAGAGAAAGTTGCCGTAGCAGGCAGTAAGAGAGAGAAAGAAACCCTAGCAGAGGACATCTATCCGAAAGAAACCCACAAAAGGAAGACCTTTAGGAGAGAGAGAAAAGCTTTAGCAGACACTATAGAAGAGACCCATGAAAGGAAGACCTTTAAGAGAGAGAAAGAAGCTCTAGAAGCCATTGAGGACTTCTCTCTAAAAGATACCCAGAGAATAAAGCCCACTCACATGAGAGAGAAAGGATCCCTGCGAGACATTGAGGACTTCTCTCTAGAAGAAACCCTTAAAATTAGAGCTTCTTTGTTGGGTTGGTATGACAAGAACCAGAGGATATTGCCATGGAGGGCAAATAGTGTCCGAGAGAGTGAAGAGAGAGAAGATGCAGAGGCAAGGGCTTATGCTGTGTGGGTTTCAGAGGTGATGCTTCAGCAAACCAGGGTTGCAACAGTGATTCGGTATTATGGGCGTTGGATGGAGAAATGGCCAAGCATCCATCATTTGGCACAAGCTTCCCAAGAGGTATTACTCTCTCTCTCTCTC